CCGCAGTCTACTAATCACTTTATTTCAATTATACAGAATGTTTAGGGAACGATTGTTCAGCACTGAACATGCCAATCAGACTTGTCAAGACTGAAAACTGACTTCACAAGTTACCATATTGTCATTAAAGAGACAAAAAGACTTGTAAGAGGTGTTAGGCCAAGAAAGCTTGAAGAACTATGGAGAAGAGCCCAGTATGTGTCACTTGGAGCTCACAGATCCAGACTTTCCATGACTGAAAACTCACTCTACAAATAGTCACAGTGTCACTAAAGAAACAAAGAACCTTCTAAAACTTGCCATAGGCCAAGAAAGCTTGATGAATTACAGAGAAGAGCCTAGGTATTACCAAGACCACCTAACCATCTACAGCAGGGGTGTCAAACTCAAAAGCTAACTTGGGCCAAATAAACAATGCTTAACTTTAGGTGGGCCGCAAAAAAAAATCAATGTTCATAGAAACAAATATTTTTATTTTGACTAGTACATTGTAATAAATATATATAAAGTTAAATTATTGTTTACGTCCTGATACTTGACGTCAAAAATGTTCATCTCGGGCCGCGAGTTTGACATCCCTGATCTACAGCGTCAGAGAGCCCAGCTAATCTCTTTAAAGAGATTTTAGGATATGTGTTCACAGCAATTGTTATGCATTACTTGGAGCTCGTAGATCCAGACTTTCCAAGACTGAAAACTGTTTCCACAAATTGTCACAGAGTCACTAAAGAGACAGAGAACCTCCCAAAACTTGCCGTAGGCCAAGAAAGCTTGAAGAACTATGGAGAAGAGCCTAGGCACTAGAAGAGCCAAGACCAGCTAACCACCAACAGTGCCAGACCCCAGCTAATCTCTTTAAGGAGGTTCTAGGGTAGGTGCTGGCAGAGAAAGTATCTATTTTCGCAGCAATTGTTACATGTCGCTTGGTGCACGTAGATCCAGTTAGTCGGTTTAAATTTGCGTGGGTGGCTGGTCGCAAAAACTGTCGAAGCGTGCATCCCGATCCCGAAGATCCCCCGGCGTGAACAATATCGAACCCGAGGGCGGCGCTTTTGACCGACCGCATTTCGGGCAGGCGAAAATTGAATTTCCAGAAAGCCAAGTCAAGAGGTAAGCGAGGAGAAGCGGCACCAGCTATTTGCGTGGCCTTAATAAGGACGTTTGACGGCGTTGGCTTTCCCTTAACAAGCCGGCTAATATCCCGGGGCCTTGGCTCCTCGATGTACCGCGACCCTCTCTGTCGCCCATGCCCGTGTGTTCACTCTTTCTCTCTGCTCCGTTCGCCACCAGGCTTCTTCCGTCTTTCTCTTTCTCGCCGCGACCCGTTCGCTTTCCGCACCACGGACACCGTCGAGAATCACCAAAGCTTGAAAACCGAACAAACTCAGTTAGAGAACTCGGTACGAGAAGCAACCGGGGACCGGCCGGCTGATAGAAACGCCAAAACCCATCCTTGTCGTCCGACGACACTCCCTTATACACACTTTCCCATGGCCCCGTATCGTTCCGCGACGGTGTTAACCGGTCTGTTGTAAGCAATTTTACGCACTTCCTAGTCGAGGTCTTCGGGAACGGGCGCGCTGCACGCGGGAAAAGGTCGTTGGAGGGCCGAGAGGACTCTTGGAGGTCCATGCACCTTGCAGAAGTGGACGCTGGCAGAATTTCTGGTATCTTATTGGGAGCAGACTGTCGAATTTACAGTAAGTAGACTTTTTAACTAGATTAAAATAAACTAGATCCAGATTAAACTAGACTAGACTGAACTGTAGCTAGACTAAACTAGACTAGATTAAACTGGACCCAGACTAAACTAGACTAGACTAAACTGGATCTAGGCTGGTCTAGACTAGACCTAGACGAAACTTGACCAGGCTGGACTAAAATAAACTAAACTCAGATTAAACTAATCTAGATTAGACCTATACTAGACTAAACTAGACTAGACTAGACCTGGATTAAACTCGACTAGACTAAACCCAGATTAAACTGAAATAGACTGACTAAACTAGGCCTAGATGAAAAAAATTAGATTAGACTAGATTAGACTAGACTTAGGCGAAACTAGACCAGACTAGACTAAAATAACTAGACTCAGATTAAATTAGACTAGACTAGAATAGATATAAACGAAACTAAACTAGATTAGACTAAGCTAGACTAGACCTACACTAAAATAGACCTAGATTAAATTAAATTAGACTAGACTAAGCTAGACCAAGACTAAAATAGACCTAGGTTAAACTAGAATGAACTACACTAGACCTAATTGACTCCTTAGTATTTGATCTGGTTAAAAACTTTTAGGGTTAGTTCAGAAGCTCCTAAGGGTACTTTAGATCTTAGTAGTTAATTGAGATCTTCTGGAAACAGGTGGTTAAGTGAAAGTTGTTCTTATTTGTTTCTCTTAGTTCATTATCTTCTGTTATAATCATTGGTATTAATATCTATATACTCACGACATTTGTGTATAGTGAGTTTTATGAAATAAAAAGAATCGTGATAGTTCGTAAGGTTGGCAATACGAATATAGGTTAGGTTGGTACGAGAGTTGTTTGAATAAGAAGAACGCATGTAATCTTTAAAGTCTAATTATATTAGTTATAAGTTGTTTTAGTTATTAAATATACATAATTTAATAAGTTCTTATTAAATTACTTTTATTACAACAATGATAATAATGAATAGCAAATTATGACACTCTTAGAAGATCTTTTAGGGGATGTTCTATGAATAAGTATCTAAGATGAAGCCGTTTATATTTGGGCCTCTCAGTTTATCATTATTGGTATTCACATCCTCTAACTATTCAGTACTAGTCTTCAAAATATCAGCTATATGCAGAATCTTTTAGGGGACGTTCCTGAAACAGGTGGCAAAGAGAAAGCTGTCATTTGAATCTCTTAATTGACCATCCTCTTCCTTTATTTCTTTAACCCAAACCCCCAAAGCGTGACATGCTTGCAGAATCTTTTAGGGGATGATTTTCGAATAAGTGTTTAAGATGAATCTGTCTCTGTTTGGTCTTCCCAGTTCATTCTTTCTTGCCATCACCACTGGTATCCTCTGTCTTTCTAATCCTGGCGTACAAAGTATGACGCATTTGGAGCACCCCTTAGGCGTCACTCTAGAACCTAGTGGCTAAGACCACCCTTCGTTTCATTCTTTCATCCTCTTCATCATTTCAACCCCACACTCCACGCCAATTTAACTAGATCACTTTTCGGTTTAGAAGCTCCGAAGGTCGTTCAATGCCTCAGCCGGGGAAGGTTCCACGAAGTGTTGGAAGCTCGTGTGGTGGCACACGTAGCCAGAGCGTCGGAAAGAAAATTGCGAGTTGCGGGCCGCGTGCGGGGCTTTATTAAGCGCGCTTCATGCGCGATTTGCATTCGTCTGGGTCGGTGATAGATTCGAAATTCCCAGGTAGAACGTGCGCCGGTTATATAGGGCCGAGAATTCGAATCGGGACGAATACGGTGGGTTAGAGGTGTGTGCGTCCACCGGCCTGGTGTGGCTGCCGGTTGCTGCACCTACGTAACCGCGCGTGATTGTGTCAACGCGGCCGGCGAACGGAGATGGCGAATCGGGGCAAGAGTCGTCGAGGGGAGTGGGGGGCTGTAGAAGGAGCAAGATCGTTGCCGTAGCACGACAGAGGGCGGGAGACGCGGCTGGGGACGAGTTTTAAGAGGGTCTTCCAGTAAACCGGGCGGAAAAGTAGGCATACTTTGGGAATTTTTTGCGAGAACGCCATGAGACTTTTCAATACGGGTGTTCCGGTATCTTTGTTGCTAGTCTTTCGAGGGTGCACGCAAATTGTTTTGCCGCAAAACGATAAAAAATGTCGAAACACTGGCATACACAGTCTGTTTAGAAAAACAGATCCGAATGGCGGCCGTTTTGCTCGTCCGAAACGAAGGCAACAAATTTTTCTTTACTCAATAAAAATACAAAATGCAATATCTCAATTTTGAAAAAATTGGAAACACTTTAATGTTGAAGTGTCAATTTTTTCTCGTTTTTCTCGTCTCAAACCACAGGAGTTAGTCGAGGCAGAAAGAGGACGACGATAGAGAGGGGAGTATACTGCGATTGTCATAAATAAGAGCAGTTCATCGGTATCCCCTATAATCCGAACCAAGCGGTGTGACACGAACGTTCGCAACTTAGGTAGTTGCAGTGTAGTAGTTATATATTTAGGTACAGTGCCGTACTAAATTGTTAATATTTTGAACAGTAAAATTATTTTGCACGTAGGTTGGTCTAGATATAACCTCATTATGCGGGAAAAGCATTTGGATGGTGAAGGACGTTGGTTTTGAGGTTATTGGAAGTCCGGATAATCGAGGTTCTCTTGTATTTCAATGTTTTCTTAGTGTTAGGAAGGATTGAGATTGTTGCACAAATGATCTAAACAGAGTTTCTATTTTACTGTTTAATATACTTTGTATAATTCAAGAGTTTTATTGAAAACAAAAATGTTCTGAAATTGTCTTAAGTACAGTAGAACCTCGATTATCCGGACCACCAATGTCGGGATTATTAATTGCCCAAATTAGTTTCACAAATAAACCGTTCAATCTGAAACGATGCGAAGGAAGTTAATTAACTGTGTGTAAAAATGTCGTTCATTTATCTTTCCAAGACTGGTCCGGATAATTGAGTTTCTACCGTAGTTTTGCATCTGTGACAAATTTGTGTAAGTGAAATATAGCACATGGAAGACATCAGAAAAATTTAGGAATATTGTTGCATTGCTTTCAACTTATTGAGAATATTAGAAAATCATTTGTTGCAGTTGATGCACATAATTACCACTTAGGTGTTCTTTAATCACTTATGTGCCCTTTCTCGTTTTAACAATATTTAACAATATACAAATATTTTAACAATATTTTAACAATATTTTAACAAGACAGCCTAACTCGTCAATTCCTCCAACGTCCCTACAAACTCAAATTATAATTTCACTTATTCTACAAAATTTCATAACGATCCAATTTCCCCACCAATGTCAATTCTCTCGCCATACATTAAACATTCTCGACGTTACGAAATCGATAAGCCCACGACGGCACGTTCGCGTCATCCCGCGGTCCAAACGTATTCAAAAAATCCACATAACCTAACTTCTGATAGTACACAACATCTCATAGTTCGCCGAGCACGTTAAGATCCCCGAGTCAATACGAAATCCGAAGCCAGGGGAGCCAGATGCAACCGGAAAGGGTTAAACAAGATTTCCCCAACAGCACTCTCTATCAGCCCACAATCTGCATTAGCTACCTTTACCCTAGATCCGCGCAACACGCGCTGCAGAAGCGTGAGAGTAAAGCCGGACGCGTTGATCCAGGGGTCGAGAGCGGCTCACAAAAGTCAGCAAGACGCGCAGACGGTTGCCTGAAAGCGGGCCGTTCAGAGAAAGAAATCGCGAAGCACCGGCACGGAGCGCGCGGCCCGTGAATAGATCGGGCGCGATAAAGGCCGGTTAAATGGTGAGCAAAACATTCCCGTAGACGATTCGCGAGGAGAAAATAGAAGGAGGACAGACACCGCGGGGAAGAAAGCACGCCGGCCGGGGATGAGGCCGAGTAAAACGGGGGATTACGTGCGCGGCGAGAGAGCCGGCCCGAAAATTAGAGCAGGATGCGGGAAGAAACGTGCTGCAAGAAATACAGTCGGCGAACGATGAGGTGAGGAGAGACGGACAGGGTTTGCTAGGCTGACGGGGTGGGAAAAATCGCTGGTGAAGTCGGAGCGGTTGGGACGAGCGGACAGGGTGCGAGCGAGAAGAAGGTACGTCGGTCGAGCGAGAGAGAAAACAGAGAGAGGGGGAGAGAAAGAGAGACGTAGATGGGGCGGTCGGTGAATGGGGCGCGGAGGGTTGGAACGAGGCAGGCATAGAGACAGATGGCGGCGGATAGAGACGGATAGAGAGAGGTCGTGGCGGCTTGAATGGGGCTAGTTTGAGATAGTTAGCGGGCCTTCAGAGGCACAATCGGCCGCGATTGGCGGGCCTACAATCACACGTCGCATTATATGTCCATCAGCGCGGCGGATCTTGCAAATACGTTAGCGCGTGAGCCAACGAGTTATCGTCCGCAAAAATTCTTCAATTCAAACCGTCGTCCCTGCGGACACAGGCTTGCGGTTCGACCGGTCCTTGGACCTGCATTTCGCGCCGCTTTCCCCGCAGTCTTTGGCGCAATAAGCCCAGCGACGTTGATGCGTTGGGGAGCGTCGTTACGGGCCGCATAGAATCGCCGGCATTACATATTTTTTACCGCACAGAGACTTCGGTGTAATTCGTCGTCGGGAAGGAGTTTTTGCCGGAGATTTTGTGCGTCCGCGGTGGCTACCAACGTTATTGACACAGTAATACCGCATGGACGATAATAACTGAGTCGGTTTGGTGTCTTACGTGGTTCCAACGATGCGGAACGATGGGGAAGTACAACATTTCTTTGGGTCCCCTCATGGTGTCTCGGTGTTTTCTTTATCGTGTAGTCCATTCACTAAGTTTTCTCATAAATGCATAAAATCCAGAGACCTGTTATGACAAACGGAAGAGTCAGATTTCACATGTTCAGATTTTTCTAATTTCCTTATTATATTTCTTATTATATTATATATTCTTATTATATTTTTTTGTTGTACTGAAAGCCACTCGAAGGTCACCGTGCCGCAGATCACCGGGTAGGTCTGAACCCGAACTATTACAGTAGAATTATATAAGAATGTATTGTACATCGGTCGCTGGTTATTTCCTTGAATAGGGGTGGGGGAGGGGTTGCAGGTTGTTAAGGAACTTTCGGGAATGCGGCATGGTCCCCCTCCATTCAATTCCCGAGCAAGGACAAATAGTAACTGATATTAAGTGAAGGCGCATCTGTAGGGGGCGATACGCGATTAGACTCAGAAGCACCGAGGTAAATATTGTCTTTTCTAATCTGCCGTCGGAGTTGCGCTATCCCGGGGTATTACCATGGGATAGGTTCGAATTCTTAGAGAGTTAATTGGGACCCGGCGAGAGGGATTTCGTGCGAAGATTCCGGATGCAAAGACAAACGGGAACGGTCATAACCCTTAGTCGCTGTTTGCCCAACGGGTACAGTTACATTCAAAGGATGTACTCCGGAATTGTTATCCGATGACAAATCGCCCAGCTACGGCTTCCATTAAAGCTTTTCCGAATTAATTCCGACAGTTTACAACCTATTAGAATCTCCGTGCCGGGCTATAAATAACGGAGACAACGGTCTCCATAGCGCGCGGTTCATCGTACCGTCCCTAAATTTTTCACTGCCGCAAACGATTCAGCCAACCAAGCCTACACACTCGACGTTAATCGACTTCGTCCCTTCAATTACCATCGAGTCTAATCGTCCTTAGTCAATGCACGCACTCTCGAGACCGTTGTCGCAATATTTATAACAAATATTAGCTAGCCAACTAAACAGAGACATCCGTTAGTTGTCGTTGACGTTCAATTATACGAGACATGTAAGCTAGGTTAATTAAATGTTAGGCTAGATTACAAGATACATAAGCCATGCTAGGTTAGACTTGACTTGTTAGGTTATCTCTCCTCATCAGCATCCTTGGAAACAACAAAAAGTAAATTAAGAAAAAGAACCCTATCATAGTCAGAATTTATATGTATGTATTTATTATTGTTTCCCACGGCGTTACAATTCTTTCCTACAAAACACCCTTGAACGAACTTAAAACTGCTCCACCTTCCTTTATCTTAGCGTAGTATAGTATATGGTAAGTATGGAATTCGAAGAAATCACTTACGATTTCGATGATCTTCACATATGTCGTCACGGTCATTATTCTGAACAACTTTTTCCTATAGATGTCATAGGAATTCTCTTTCAGTGTTCAAGATATTTACGAAAAAATGTAGCTACAGCTACGATGAGTTATATGGCTGTTGGATAAAAATTGATGTTACCAACTGTTCGAATTTTAATTTGATGTAATTCACACCTAACGTAGACATAGACCTTACACAGGCCTAAGTAAATAAAATAGAAATGATATAATAGTACTTTCGATTGGAACATAACCCAGACTTAATCCTAACCTAATCTAGACCTAAATGAATAATGAAATAGCAATACTATAATGGCTCTTTCATATCGGATCTAACCTATACCTAATTAAAGTCTCGCTAAATTAAAGTCTCGAACTATCTAAAATATACCTCAGAAATAATCTAAAACATGAGGTTAAATCTTGGAACCTCAGAGATAATTTAGAACATATCATTGAAGTTGAGTCTCAAACCTCAGAAACAATTTGAAACTTATCTTTGAGGTTAAGTCTCGAACTTCAGAAATAATCTAAATCATATCTTTATATAAAAGGTTAAATCTTGAAATCTCAGAAATAACCTAAAAACATATTTTTGAGTTCAAATCTTGAACCTCAAAAACAATCTAGAACACTGAAGGTTAAGTCCCGAACTTCAGAAATAATCTGAAATATATCTTCGAGGTTGAATCTTGAAACCTCAAAAAGCAATGTAAAATATACATTCGAGGTTATAAATCTCTAACGTACTCAATTCCTATTTCATTAAATTTCTACTACACGTATAGAAGAAAGATGTTCAGAATGACACTCTGGACAACACATATCATCAAACTCGGAGATGGCTCCCTCACGCTGCATAATTAGCAAACTACATGACAAAAAATAATCTCGCTACAAACAATAATCAATGTCAATCAATAAGTTGAGTTACTACACACTTTCTTCAGCGTTTCCTGATTTGCCGGAAACATTAATCAACAGTGTCCGGAGCGGGCAAATGCATTTTTGATCGGCGACACGACGGATGGGTTGTATTTTCAACGGTATCGTCCAATTTCGCAGAGACAACCGGAGGGACCGTCCGTATCCGTGTAACAGGATGTTGGGTAACCTCCAAAGGTACTCAATATAAATACGCATGATTATTCGAAACCTCAGATCAAACGTTACCCGGAGGAACAGCGGCGGGCGACTGACGGAATAACTAATTTATCAATTCTTCGCTTCGGTTGGCTCCGATACCTATGGCTATATTTGCGAACTCGTGTAAACAGACCTCCGAACTGCCAGGCCGTATCGCCGAGCCCCGTGTCGTCGTTGTATTTGGCTACGGAAGACCTCCAGGAGCCAGCGACGGTTCTGACAGCAACCTGTAAAATTACGTATTCCCGTACTTGTTCGTTAGAATTGTTTATAACCCGGCAGCCGTTTGGGGCCGACGTCCGACGACGCGACAGCCGAGCAGAAACATTCCGACTGAATGTTGCACGTTGGTTGCCAGTGTTGCCACATCTCGCTGTCAGTGTAGAACTAATACGCTGCCATTCTTTCTCCAATTTTACAGATTTCGATTCTGCTGCGAGTCTGGTCGCTCTTCAATGACGTAGTTCTTTCGTATTTTTAACCCTTTTTCAAGCTCAATGGTAATTTCGGGTCGTCGGTGACCCTATATCTTTTTTCACTTTTTTCTGCAGTAAAAGCTTAATTCTCCATTTAGGCGTTTAGGTATTTTACATATTTGTTAAGAATAAAGTGGGGCTTTCACCTGGGGTCTATTATGACCCCAGTACGCCAGCCATAATTTTCTTAAGATTTATTTCACTAATTTAAAAGTTTCTAATTTTAAGAGTTTGTCTTTGAAAAACAGAACTTTTTCGATACTGTCTTAAAAATACACGTATTACACATAATGTCCTCTCTTCCTGTCACATAATGCAATTAGAACCATATCGTATCAATGAAGAAAAATCGGTAATAACCTTGAACTGACCTTCAAAAAACCGAGAATCTAAAAAATCCAAAACATAACTAGAAGGTCACAACGCAGAGACAATATAAGACACTGAATAATAGATCTTACAAATCGTATACATTAAACGATAAACATAACCTAAAAGTGTACATTGTACAAACGCCCGAGTATGGTAAGTCGCAAAGCCGCGATTTATTTCAGGACGACGTACTGGTTCGCCGGGGCGTTCAATTTAATTAGCAGCCGTCCGGCGTGGTATTCCTTAATTAGAAAGATACATTTCCGTTTCGAAAACATTTTTCTCAGCGGCCACGGCATTTCCATTTTCGCAAACGGCACGGAGAATTCTCTTCCAGAAAGTTCGAGTAGGTTTCCCACTGTTTCTCCACGAAGTCGGATATTTTTTTATTCGACACGGGATTTATGCGTGATTAAATTCTTACATTACTTCGCAGTTACAAGGCGTTTAACGATAGCCGCCATTATCCGTGGCAGCTCGCAGGCACGCGGATTAAAAAACTTTCTTAATTAAAAGGCTCTTTGGGCGCTCTATTTCAGTTGCAAGGGCGAAATATTTTAAATATGTTACCTCGCCGGATCTATTAGTTGGCTTTCCCATTTATTTGACGCCCCCTACCCCCCACCTCCACCAACCCCCTTTCATTAATTACGGGCTTTCACAGCCCTCGCACGCGGCTATTACGTCACGTTTGAGCGTGAAATTTTTATTCTAACGATCTCGTATATCGCGTACAATATTTCCGAATGCGATCCGTTACAAGCCAGCGATGGTGACACGTACGCTGATTGGCGTCATTACTGCGCTGACCATTTTTTGGGAGGGATTGGATAAACCGTTTTTCCCCTCTACCGTCGCGTTTCACGTGCCGCATGCACACCTATTTGTCTCTCTCTTTCTCTTCCTCTCACTCCCTCTCTCTCTCTTTCTCCCTCTTCCTCTCTCTCTCTCTTTCTCTTTCCCGCTTCGGAAAAAGCGACCCTTAAAACCGCCATCGTACATATTGGAAAAATTTAATTTGTGGCCGCGCAAAAAGTTAAATTCCCGCGTGAAAAAATAAACATTTCGAAAATATTAATATCTCCGGCTATCTCGACAATCGGACATTAATATTCCAATGGGATATTCGAGCACTTTTTGTATTTATCATTATTACGAGGCTCTGCTCATTATTCGGATTTTCTTTCGCGAAATACATACGTTCACCGCATAGTAAATGATACTACTTCTTCTAGAGATGGCTTCTCGGAGATGGAAAAATAGATGTAACTTCGAAAAATAAACTATTATTATACAGGCTGTTCCACGTGACTCTGTAACCTCTATCAACTTTGTTGTTTTTGGAGATAGAGTTATGGTTTTTCTAAAATTAGAATGAGAAAGTAGAGAAGAAAATAATCTTGAACGGATAATAATCACGGAACCGAAGTGAACACGTTGGTCACTTGTTTACATTAAAAAATCGTAATTGTGAATTTTAGGTTTCATTTTGGTTGCGCATAGCCCACGTTTAGGTAAAGTTTAGGTTGCGTTTATGTTGGGTTAAGTTTCAGTTAGGTTATTTTACGTCTGGATCAGATTTCGATTAGATTCGATTTGGATCAATGAAAAAGTTCTCGCCTAAATCCGTCAAAACAGTTTTCTCTCGAATTTCCGCGGCGTTATCTATTTTCTCAAGATCACCCTGATCCTACTTAAACTGTGTTTTATTTTTCTAGGTTAAAGTGGTTAGGTCACATCGATATCGTCGACAAGTTAACGATGTGAGTGAGACGAAGATTTTCAAGACGAATTTGAGAATCGAGACATGCACATAGTCGTCGGTGGTGGCTAGCTGGACACAGAGGTGGCAGCCGTCTAGACCTAGACGCGGGCGAACGACGTTGAAACGGAGCCGGTCGATAACGCGATGCAGCACCTCCAGCCGTGACGAGGCTGCGACATCGGGATTGTGATTAGGGGCCGGTCGGCAAACAATGCCTAATTACATAATTATTGTGCCGCGGGCCCGTAATTAAGACACATTACTCCTCCCGGCTGGTAATTCATTACGCTTAATGTCTTCCCTGCCTCCACCATTTCATCGCGGATGACAGTCGCGACGGTTCCGCTAAATACCGTTACCGTGAAATATTACCGACCACGACCACGACCACGGCAGAGTGCACGACCGCCTCACCGCTCTGCGACAACCATAAGCTCCCGGTCCAATTTCTCTCTCTCTCATTTATTCTTCTAATTCTTTCTCTGTCTTTTACCCTCTCTCTCTCTCTCTCTCTCTCTCTCTCTCTCTCTCTCCCTCTCTCTCACTTTCTCTCTCTTTCTCTCAAACTCTCAATTCGCTCTCTCTCAATTTGTTTCCCTCTCTCTCCTTCTCAATTTGTTTTCTTTCTTTCTGAATATTTTTCTCTCTTCTTTCTCCTGTTCTCAATTTTTTTATCTCTCTCAATTTCTTTCATTTGTCTCTCCGTCTGAACTCTTTTCTCTCTCTTATTGGCTTACTCAATTTCTTTGTCTCTCAATTTTTATTTTCTCTCCCTCTCCCAATTTTTGTTTCTCTCTCTCTTTCTCTATTTTTTTCGATCTCTCCTCGAGTTATCTTTTCTCTCTCTCTTTCCTCTCTCTCTCTAATTTTTGTTTCTCCCTTTCTTTCTCAATTTCTTTTTTTCCCCCTCTCTCTCTCTCTTTAATTTTTGTTTCTCTCTCTCTCCTTCTCAATTTCTTTTTCTCTCTCTCTCCTTCTCAATTTTTGTTTCTCCCTCTTCTTCTCCAATTCTTCTTTCTCCCCCTTCTCAATTTTTGTGTCTCTCTCTCTCCCTGCTCGAATTATTCTCTCTCCCTCCCCCCTCTTTTCCTTCTCCCTCTCTCCGCCCATTCTCTAATTTTTGTTTTGCCCATTCTTTCACTTGCTTAATTTTCTCTCCCCCTCTCTCTCTCTCCTTCTCAATTTTTGTGTTTCCCTTTTCTCCTCGATTTTTGTTTCTCTCTTTCTCTCTCCCCGGATCTGGAAATCCCCCCGCCCTCCCGGGACATCGAGATTCATTGCGTTTTCTAACAAAGCAACGTCCTCCCTCCGCACACCCGTTAGATGGTCGTTCGCCCCGGGAATGCCGTTTGATCCTCGGAATGTCGTTCCAACCCCCACGGACGTTTATTTTATTGGGCCGGGCGAATAATTGTAAGATTAATTGATACCGATTGTTGGCCTGCTCGCAGGGTAGTTGCGTAGGGGTGGGAGAAAATTTCTGTGTCATTACTGGACCGTGGTCCTGTCCATCTTCGTGGTTTGTAGATACAGACTTCCGGTGAATCAAGATTAGTTTTATTTTCATATTGCGCAGAGTATTTTCGTCGATAGGAGGCAGTATTTTCTTTATTATAATTTCGGCAAAATTGACACTGGAACTGTATGCATACATAGATATACAGGGTGTCCCAAAATTATCGTATTTCAACTTTTTCCTTTACAAAAATTTCCTTCGAGGCATCGTTAACGAATTATTGACGAAAAACACTGACCAATGAGGGGCGAGCTCGCGTGGCGCTAGGCGGCCGAGCCAATAAAGCGGAACTGGGCTTCGTGCGCTCGTTGGCTTGGTCGCCGCACGCCTGCCGAGCTCACCTCTCATTGGTCAGTGTTTTT